TCTCCCAGATTAAGGAAAGATTGATTACAAAGACCTTCCTCCAGAGCTGAAAGAGAGAAAAAGCTTTCCCCTGGAGCTGATGCCCTGAATTGGTACTTGTAGCCTACTAGACTGTGAGAGAATAAATTTCTCTTTGTTAAAGCCATCCGCTTGTGGTATTTCTGCTATAGCAGCACTAGATGACTAAGGCACCCAACTTTCTAATATTTAGCTTCTTGACTAATGTCCATTGTTTTAGGCTGAACCTTTTATCCCTCTCTGATATAGTTGTGAATTGACTGATGAGTATCCTGGATAGTGAAGCTGAGTGTCCTCAAATTGCATTAGAACAAGGATTTCCTGACCTGAAGCTACTGATAGAAACAAAAGCAAGGACTGGGCAGAAACAACGCAGGGCTCCAACAAGCACACTAGGATTTATTTAGACCTTGCAATATGGACGGCACAAATGATTAACCATAAGAGGGCTGAGGCAGTTCAGTGGTAGAATTATCACCTTCCATGTGGGAGACCTGGGTTTGATTTATTGCCAATGCACCTCATGCACAGACGCCACTCTTCTGTCAATGGAGGTTTTTATGTTGCTATGATGCTACACAGGTTTCAGCAGAGGTTCCAAACTAAGACAAACTAGTAAGAAAGGGTGTGAAAACACTATGGATAGCAACAGTCCTATCTTCAGTTGATCATGGGGATGGTGCAGAATGAGACAGTCTTTTATTCAGTTGTGCGTGGTGTCCCCATGAGCTGGGGGCCGATTTGACGAAGCTAACAACAACAATAGTTAACCATAAAGCCCCAGGATGAAAATTGTGTCAGGAGGAAATTGGGGGTGCTACATAAAATTAATATTGGAATTTTCCAGGTGAATTACACTCTTAATAAGAATTATGCAAGGATTAGTTCTCAGATGCATTGTTCTCCCCATACCTAAAACCCAGCATAGTTCTGATTAATAGGGTGGAGGTGAGATTAACCAGGATTTACCCAGTGGATACGTGTTCACTATTCTAGATAATGTTATGGTCAGATTAAGTGTTTCTCCTGTAGATATCTGAGGGCTATGTTAAAAAAAAAAAACTACACACACATTTTATGGTTAGAAAAAATACATAAACCTCTTAGCTTCATGAATTTTCAAGTCTTGGAGAGTTTCATTAATATATTGGGCTGTCGGCAAGAAAAGGGAGCATTTCTAAATTATGTTTCCTTTGCTTTGTGGGTGAGGTAATTTTAGACAGAACATAATTTCTTCTTCACATAGGTTCCTGGGACTTGTAGGCCCGAAAAACCCCAGAATTCTGTTGGGAGAATGCATTGCCTTGTGAAGGAATCATTCTTATTTAGTGGATCTCTGAAACTCTGTAACATAGGTCTGCTAGTCAAGTAATGAAGTCTTCAATCTATGATCTGAAAACTATTATATGGTGGAAAAGGGCTAATCATATTTTTGACGTTTTTGGGACTGCTAATTTGAAGAAGGGAAGATTCAAAATAAAAAAAAATTGTTGCAGTAATCCATTCTTTTAGAAAAAATTGGGTTTATTACGGTAAAATCCACCCTTTTCCAGCAGAAATTTCAGTAAATTTCAACAAACGTATACAATCATGCAACCACCACCATATTTAAGATATAGAACATTTTCATCACCCCAATAAATTCTGCCCTGCCCCTTTGTAGTCAGTTCCCTCCCCCCACCGTTAGCCTTGACCTTATTGATCAAATCTATTTCTATAGTTTTGCCTTTTAAGTATTCATATACAACTTTTTTGGCTAGTTTTTCTCACTTAGAATAACGCATTTAAATTTCTTCCATGTTGCATGTATCAGTAGTCATTTCTTCTTATTGCTGGGTCATATTCTATTGAATGGATATACTAGAATTTGTTCATCATTTTATTACTTAGTGGATATTTTGGTAGTTACCAAGTTGGGGCTTATAAATAAAAGTGCTATAAACATTCACATACAGGTCTTCGTGTGAACATATATTTTAATTTCTCTCTTGCAAATACCTAACAGTGGATTGCTGGATGGTATAATAAATGTTTGATTAACTTTACAAGAAACTGCAAAACAGTTTTCCAAAGTGGCTTCACCATTTTCAAATCCCAGCAAGAAAGTATGATAATTCCAGTTGCACTGCATACTCACCAGCATTTGGTCATGTTAGTACTTTAAAAAAATTAATTATTCTGGTACATGTGTAGTGGTATCTCATCCTGGTTTTAATTCACATCTTCCTAATGACAATAATATTGAACACTTTCATGAGTTTGTTTGCCATCCATACATCTTCTTTTGTTAAGTGTCACTTTTTTAACACATTCAAAATTGTGTTGCTTGTTTTATTATTACTAAATTTTAAGTTACACTTGTTGTTGTTGTTAGGTGCCTTCAAGTTGGTTCCAACTCATATGACCCTATGTACAACAGAACGAAACACTGTTCAGTCCTGTGCCATCCTCACAGTCATTGCCAAGTTTGAGCCCATTGTTGCAGTCACTATGTCAATCCATCTTGAGGGTTTTCCTTTTTTCACCAGCCCTCTACTAAGCATGATATCCTTCTCCAGGGACTTGTCCCTCGTGATAACATGTCCAAAGTACACGAGATGAAGACTTCTCGTTCTCATTTCGAAGGAGCATTCCGGTTGTACTTCTCCCAAGACAGAGTTGTTCGTTCTTCTGGCAGTCCATGGTATAGTCAATATTCTTTACCAACACCACAATTCAAAGGCCTCTATTCTTCTTATTTGGTCTTCCCTACTCATTGTCCAGCTTTCACATGCATATGAGGCAAATGAAAATATCATGGCTTGGGCCAGGCACACCTTAGTCCTCAAAGTGACATCTTTGCTTTTTAACACTTTAAAGAGCTCTTTTGCAGCAGATTTTCCCAATGCAATACATCATTTGATTTCTTGACTGCTGGTTCCATGGGCATTGATTGTGAACCCAAGTAAATGAAATCCTTGACCACTTCATTGTTTTCTCCATTTATCATTATGTTGCTTATTGGTCCATTTGTGAGGATTTTTGTTTTCTTTATGTTGAAGTGCAATCCACACTGAAGGCTTTAGTCTTTGATCTTCAACAGTAAGTGCTTCAAATCGTCTTCACTATCCGCAAGCAAAGTTGTCTCATCTGCATATCTCAAGTTGTTAATGTATCTTCCTCCAATCCTGGTGTCGTGTGCTTCATATAGTCCATTTTCTCAGATTATTTACTCAGCATACAGATTGAATAAGTATGGCAAAAGGATATAACCCTGACACACACATTTCCTGATTTTAAACCATGCAGTATCCCTTTGTTCTGTTTGAATGACTGTCTCTTGGTGTATGTACAGTTTCCACATGAGCACAATTAAGTGTTCTGGAATTCCTAATCTTTGCAATTTTCTGCATAATTTGATCTGATCCACACAGCTGAATGCCTTTGCATATTCAATAAAACACAGGTAAACATCTTTCTGGTATTCTGTGCTTTCAGCCAAGATCCATCTGATGTCAGCAATGATACCCCTCTCTCCACTTCTTCTAAATTTGGCTTGAATTTCTGGCAATTCCCTGTTAATGTACTGCTGCAACTGTTATTGAATTATCTTTAGCAAAAATTTGTTTGCCTATGATATTAATGATATTGTTCAATAATTTCTGTATTCTATTGGATCACCTTTCTTTGGAATGGGTGCAAATATGGATCTCTTCCAGTCAGTTGGCCAGGTAGTTGTCTTCCAAATTTCTTGGCATAGATAAGTGAGCACATCCAGTGCTGCATCCATTTGTTGAGACATCAGTTGGTATTCCGTTAATTCCTGGAGCCATTGTTTTTTGTCAGTTCCTTCAGTGCAGTTTGGACTTCTTCCCTCAGTACCACCAGTTCCTCATCATATGCTACCTCTTGAAATGGTTGAACATCAACCAATTCTTTTTCGTACAGTGACTCTGTGTATTCCTTTCATCTTTGTCATGAATTGAATTATGTTCTCCCGAAAAATGCGTGTATCAATCTGGCTGGTCATGATTCCCAGTATTGTATAATTGTGTACCATTTTGTAATCTGATGTGATTTCCTTATGTGTTGTGAACTGTATCACTATGATGTAATAAAATGGATTAGCAGCAGTTATACTGATGAGGTCTACAAGGCTGGACAGTGTCTTAATCCAATCTCTTTTGAGATATAAAAGAGAGGAGTGAGCAGAGACACATGGGAACCTCTGAAAGCAGTGCTGGGAGCAAAGGGCGTCCTTTGAATCTGAGGTTCCTGCGCAGAGAAGCTCCCACACCAAAGGAAGATTGATGAAGTCGACCTTCCTCCAGAGCCGACAGAGAAAGCATTCCCTTGGAGCTGACCCTGAATTTGGACTTGTAGCCTACTGGACTGTGAGAGAATAAACTTCTCTTT